CGGGTGGGGTCGGGCGGGCGGACCCTAACGGGCGAATCGGGTTGGGTCGGGCGGGCAGGACATTAAAGTATGATGCACCATCGAGTTGGCACGCGAGTACCCTCACGGGCGGGACGGGTCCGGCGGCCCGGCGGAACCGGGTCGGGCGGGACGGGTCCGGCGGGCGGGCGGACCCTAACGGGCGGGACGGGTCGGGTCGGGTCGGGCGGACCCTCGAGATGCATCATCGAGATGGCACGCGAATACGCTAACGGGCGGGACGGGTCCGGCGAGCGGGCGGCCCCTAACGGGCGGGACGGGTCGGGTCGGGTCGGGCGGACCCTAACGGGCGGGACGGGTCGGGTCGGGCGTGCGGGACATTAAAGAATGATGCACCATCGAGTTGGCACGCGAGTACCCTAACGAGCGGGACGGGTCGGGCGGGCGGACCCTAACGGGCGGGACGGGTCGGGTCGGGCGGGCGGGACATGAAAGTATGATGCACCATCGAGTTGGCACGCGAGTGCCCTAACCGGCGGGACGGGTCCGGCGGGCGGGCGGGACGGGTCGGGTCGGGCGGGCGAACCCTCACGGGCGGGACGGGTCGGGTCGAGCGGGCGGGACGTAAAATAATGGTGCATCATCGGGTTGGCACGCGAGTACCCTGACGGGCGGGACGGGTCCGGCGGGCGGACCCTAACGGGCGGGTCGGGTCGTGTCGGGCGGACATTAAAGCATGGTGCGCCATCAAGTTGGCACGCAAGTACCCTAACGGGCGGGACGGGTCCGGCGGGCGGGCGGACCCTGACGGGCGGGACGGGTCGGGTCGTGGCGGGCTGTGGGCTGACCCTAACGGCGGGACGGGGTTCGGGTCTGCGGGCGGACCCTAACGGGCGGGTCGGGTCGGGTCGGGCGGGCGGGACATTAAAGTATGATGCGCCATCGAGTTGGCACGCGAGTACTCTAACGGGCGGGAAGGGTCCGGCGGGCGGGCGGACGGGTCGGGTCGGGCGGGCGGACCCTCACGGGCGGGACGGGTCGGGTCGAGCGGGCGGGACATAAAATAATGGTGCATCATCGAGTTGGCACGCGGGTACCCTAACGGGCGGGACGGGTCCGGCGGGCGGACCCTAACGGGCGGGTCGGGTCGGGTCGGGCGGACATTGAAGTATGATGCGCCATCGAGTTGGCACGCGAGTACCCTAACGGGCGGGACGGGTCCGGCGGGCGGGCGGACCCTGACGGGTCGGGTCGGGCGGGCGGACCCTAACGGGCGGGACGGGTCGGGTCGGGCGGGCAGGACATTAAAGCATGATGCGCCATCGAGTTGGCACGCGAGTACCCTAACGGGCGGGACGGGTCGGGCGGGCGGACCCTAACGGGCGGGACGGGTCGGGTCGGGTCGAGCAGGACGGGTCGGGTGGGTGGCCCTCGATGATGGATGAGGGAGGAGAGGGGAGGAGGAAGTAGGGAGGGATGAGGGATGCGGGGCGGGGGGACGTAGCGGCAACGAGGGATGGGGGAGGGCGGAGGGCAGAGAGGGATGGATGAGGAGGGGGAGGAAGAAGAGGAGGAGGAGCAGCAGCAGCAACAGCAGCAGCAGCGTAATGAGAGAGAGTAGCAGGAGGGAATCGCCTCTGTGGAACCCGTCCTGTGGAACCGGTCCTGTGGAACCAGTCCTGTGGAACCGGGCTTGTGGAACCGGTTCTGTGGTACCGGTCCTGCGGAACCGGTCCTGTGGAACCGGTTCCGTGGAACCGGTTCTGCGGAACCGGTCTTGTTGAACCAGTTTTTGATGAACCGGTCCTTGCTGAACTGGTCGTCTGTTGAACCGGTGTTTGTTGAAGCGGTCGTCCGTTGAACCGGTCCCTGTTGAACCGGTCGTCTGTTGAACCGGTCTTCTTCCACAGTGAAGACGTGGCCTCATTGAGGTCCCCGTCTTTGCACTAGGGATAATAGGCCTGGGCGGTTTGGTGGTTGGACACGTTTGCAGGAAAGACGCCCTGTCCCCCATGTCTGTGGCCCTCCTAACTGAGGTCCCCTCCCAGAGGGTCAGGGGTCCTTTCTTGGTTGATCGTTTCCGCCCACCAGCGCGAGGCGTGCAGCGGTCGGAGACTCGGTGCGGCGGGCTCGCGCCCCGTGCCGCCGCGGCTGCGGCCCCGACGAATTGGGGGCGTCCCGGGCGGGGCGCGGCGAAGGGCGGCCCGAGAGCGGCCGGCGTCGAGCGCGCCGTGGGCCGAGAAGTCGCGGCGTCGCTCGAGGCCGGGCGGCGGACGCCACGCGCGGGCGTCGTCGGAGGCACGGAGGCCCGCCGTGGAGGGAGGAGGAGCGCAGGCAGGGCAGCGGGGGCTCCAATGATGGCGCGGCCCGCCGGGGGGGGGGGGGGGAGGCGGGCGGGGGGGCGTGTCGGGCGACGAGCTGTTCTTGCCGGCAGGGGTGCAGGTGGAGACCCATGCCAAGAAGCACCCTGCTTGCCTCCAGGGTGCCCTGGGTTTCTTGGGCTTCGATGGTTCTTTGCGACGGAAGGCGCGACGTTCCCACACCACAATCCAAGGACGTCCTGGGGTCTCAGGGTTGGGTTCCTTGTGGACGGTTTCTTGTGGATCGGCCCCCGCTGTAGACGGGAGACCACATGTGTGCAGACGAAGCCTAGCTCAGGACATGCAGAGGAGCCTCGGGGGAGCCTGGGCTCGGCGGGGGGCAAGGGCGGCGAGGCTGACCTTCTCTCGCAGTCGCTTTCGTGGTCGTACCTTCTCCCATCTGATGGCGTTTTGGGGGGGGCGCTATCTAGGTGTTTAAATCGAACAAAACCAAACGCCATAAACATAAACTTTTGGCGCTCCGCGCGGATTTCTTGGATCCGCGCTGGGCCCCCCTCCCTACGCGCGCCAGGGGCGGCGCCAGAAGCACACAGGCACATAAAGAATCGTCGGCTCCCGGGGAACTATGCAAAAAACCTAGGGAGGCTGGGGGGGAGCCGAACGCCTCGAGACAATACATGGAGAACTGAGAGGCACCCTGGGATCTGTGCTTACTTCTTTGAGTGTCCCCGGGCCCCGTCAGTTGAGCTGCGGGGCAGCCTCGGCGCCCACGCGCCGTCGCAGGTGGCGCCCCCGACGCCAGCGGGCGGCGAGGGCGACGCACGCCAGCGGACCACGACCGTCGACGGACGACCGACGACGGACGACCGACGACGACGACGACCGGCGACGGACGAGGACAGACGACGGCGGACCTTGAGCGCCTGGCCTTGCAATGTTTTCACAGTGGGCTTTTTCGTTCAATCTCGGGCCCCGGGACCCTGACAGATCGATCTGGCTCGAAACATGATGCAGAAAGATGCGGTCCGGGGCTCTGGTCGTGTTTTTTTGCGACGTTGCATTTTTTTTTGCCACGTCGGACTTCAGGGACAAACGACGGCGGACGACGGCGACCGATGTTGGACGACAGAGCCATGCCCCCGACGTGGTCTTCTTTTGGCTTGGTGTCAGCCCCCAGAGGTCTGGACAACCTCCCGGGGGCCTGCCTTCCATCCGGCGCCCGTTGCTTCGACGGCCCTCGGGGCCCTGCGACAGGGCCCCCAGGGGCCGATCAATGCAGAAGCACCGATGGTCGCGGCGGGGGCGGGCTCTGGGGACGACGCACGTCCAGGAGTGTCCGCGGTTCGGTCGGTCCTGCTGCTTCGCGGTCGGCCCCACTCGGCCGCCTCGTCTCGATGGGCTGCCGCGCCGCCGCGTCCGAGCCTGGGCCGCCATCCGCCCGCGGGCCTCCGTCGGCCAGACGAAGCGGCGACCACGCCGGCCCACGACGACGGCCAGGATGGCGACGCTACAGTTCGAAAAGCAGCGGCCTCCAGCGGCGCCGGTGCGCGGACGGCAGCCCGGGGGAGAGCCCCCCGGCCCGCGGCGGCCCGCGCCGGGCCTCGCCCCCGAGGACGGCCCGCCCCCCTCGGGAGGGCTGTCGCGCCGCCTCGACGCGGCCGCTGCAGCCGCCCTGCCGCCGCCGCCGCAGCCGCCGCCGCAGTTGTCCGCCGCCGCGGCCGCCGCCGTGCGGCCGCCACCCTGCGGCCGCCGTCGTCCGCCGCCGCGGCCGCCGCCGCGCCGCCGCGGTCGTCACCGCTGCGGCCGCCGCCGTGCAGCCGCACTCGCCACCGGTCTGGCGGCTATATGGTCGCCGTCGCCGCCCCGTCGCCGTCTGGGCCTGCGTTGCTTTGCGTTGCTTTGATTTTTGCTTTGCATTGTTTTCAATCGCATTGCGCTGCTTCGCGTTCGTTTGTATTGCGTCGCGTTGCGTTGCATTGCTTTGCGCTGCCTTGCATTGTTTTGCATTGCTGTGTATGACGCAAATTGCACCACATGGATTGCACCCACCACCCAGACTGCGCCGCGTATACAGTAGGAGCTCCCCGTTTGGGGTTCGCGCTGGTTAGCACTTTCCATCACCGCATATATTGTAGGAACCAGTGTTTGTAGGAAGTCATTAGTTGGATGCTTTATACGTATCCGTGAAATGTCTTCGCTCCCTGCTCTTCCATGGACGCCCCGAGAATGTAACCTTTTCCTTCGGTTTGCACCTGATCGTTATACTTCGCTCCCTGCTCTTCGCTCCCTGTCCGATCGGATACAACAGAGTCGCGTCGGTGCGTTTCGGCGCTGCCTTGGCGCATCTGGGAACAGCATGCGGGGGCGGATAGGAGTCGTCAGCGCAGATTGAAACGTTGGCGTTATCGAAGACGCCTACGGCGAATCACCGCCGCCCCCTCCCTTTTTGGAAACGCCTATGTGGCCGAACGTTGTGGCCAGAGGCCTGTCAAGGTATCGGACCATGCGAGTGTGGCGTAATGTGCAAGGGATCGTAGCCTCGGGGGCGCGACTGTGGCGTAATTTACGGGGGGTCGTTGCCCCAGAGGCGAGAATGTGATGTAATTTACGAGGAATCGTGGCTTCAGGAGCGTGAATATTGTATATTTTGCTAGGGATCGTGGCTTCGGGGACGCGAATACAGAGTAATTTACCAAGGATCTTGACCTCGGGGGCGCGAACACAGCGTAGTTTACGAGGGATTCTTCGGGAGCGCGAATCTCATATATTTTTACGTGTCCTAATGCCCCCCAGAAATTCAGAGTACGCGATTCGGGGGTACGAAAAGTATGATTTTCGGACCCCCCCTCGCGCGGACAGTAACAACTTATAGTAAGAAGCAGGCAGCACTACTGTAGAATTTGACATTCGAAATTGGAGCTGGTGCAGGGAGCAGCAAACCTAAGCCTCGCAGCCTGATTGCCCCGCAAGGGGGGCCGGCGGATTCGTATATTTGTTTCAGATGTATCGCAAAGGAGGCGCCAGTAGCAGAAGGTTTCGGGGCCTCGCTGGCGCTCGTTTCTGTTGCTGGTGGAGCAAGAGGGTTCGACTCCTCGAGGGGGAAAGCCTCTTGCGCTCTCCTCGTCCGTCCTGGTCCAGGTGCTCGCTTGATTTTGCCAGCGTGAACTACGCACCCACGATGACGACCACGTCGGAGACCCCGACGACGACAAGCACGACGACCGCGACGACCACGACTACGATCACGACGACGACGACGACCACGACCACGACCCCGACCACGACCACGACGACGACCACGACGACGGCGACGGCGGCGACGGCGACGGCGACGGCGACTGCAGTGACGGCGACGGCGACGGCGACGGCGACGGCGACGACGATGGCGACGGCGACGGCGACGACGACGACAACGACGACGACGACAACGGCGACCTCGTCGACCACGACAACGACCACGACCACAAAAACGGTGACGACCACTACGACGACGACAACGGCGACGACGACGACGACCACGGCCACGACCACGACCACGAAGACGACGACGACGACGGCGCTTACCACGAAGACGACGGCGACGACGACGACGACGACCAAGATCACGAAGAAGACGACGACGACGGCGCTTACCACGAAGACGACGGCGATGACGACGACGACGACCACGATCACGAAGACGACGGCGATGGCGACGACGGCGATGGCGACGACGACGATGACGACGACGACGACGACCATGAGACGACGGCGGTGTCGACGGCGACGACAGCAACGGCGACGGTGTCGACGACGACGGCATGCGGTGAGCGTCGGGCCGCGGGCGGCGGGCGGCGAGAGCGGGGCGGGCCCGGCCGCAAGGAGGGGCCGCCACGGCGCAGTCCTGGCGGAGCGGAGCCGCTCGCCGCGAGGAGCGCGCGCGCGGTCGCCGCCGCTCGCCGCCGCCGCCGCGGCTCTTCGACGGCTGTCCGCGGCGCCGAGGGCCTCTGCGGCCCTCTGCGCCCTTCGCGGCCTTCGGCTGCCTTCGACGGCCCCCGCCGTCGGCGGCGCTCGGCGGCCGTCGGCGGCGGCCCGAGGCGGCCTTCGGCGGCAGTCGGCGGCGCTCGGCGGCCCTCGGCGGCGGCGCACTTGAGCCGAGCATCGTTGCCGCTGCAGCGCGTGATTGTACGTACTTGGTGTCAGTGCATGCGTGTATCGATCGTGTCAATCTGTTGAGCGCGCCGTCACAGCCGAAGCTCGCATCCAGAGGTCGTTGCACACGTCCTGGAGCCAGGCGGGAGACAGCGGCGCGATCACAGTCTGCGAGCTCTTTCTGGTTTCCTCGTGGCGGCGGCTGCGGCGTCGTTGTGGCCGCGGTCGTGGTCGTGGTGGTGGAGGTGGTGGGCACGGAGCGGCGGAGGAGGCGCGCGGCGTCCCCGCCGCTCGGAGGCCCCGGGTGGCGGCGGCGGCGGCGGCGTCGTAGTGGCCGTGCTCCTCGTTTCGGATGGGGCCTCCGGCGGCCAAAACACAGGCGGGCGGCGCGCGTCGCCTCCCTGGGGGGCTGTTCGGGCCTGCGGCGCGCCGTCCACCGAGCGTCGTCGAGGGTCGGTGGTCGTGGTGGCGGCGCGGAGGGGGGCGCGCGGAGCGAGGCGCGTGGGCGCCCACAGGAGGGCGCGACGCCAGCCCGCGGGGAGAGAAGGCGCTGCCCTTTGAGATGCCCGCGGACGGGCGCCAGCTGACGCTGGCGGAGGCCGGGCCTGGACCGTGGTCTTCGCCGCCGCCGCCGCCGTAGTCGTCGCTGCCGCTGCCGCCGCCGCCGCCGCGGCTGCCGCAGCCGCCGCCGCCGCCGCCGCCGCCGCGCCGCCAAGCCGCCGCCGCCGCCGCCGCCGCCTGCCGCCGCTGCCGCCGCCGCCGCGTCGTCGTCGTCGTCGTCGTCGTCGTCGTCGTCGTCCGTCGTCGTCGTCGTCTCGTCGTCCGTCGTCGTTTTCGTCATCGGCGTCGTCGTCATCGTCGTCGTCGTCGTCGTCGTCGTCATTGTCATTTCGTTGTCGTCGTGGTGGTGTTGGTTGGCGTCCGTCGTCGTCGCTTTCGTATTCGTCGTCGTCGTCGTCGTCGTCGTCGTCTCGTCGTCGTCGTTTTGTCGTCTTGTTAGTCGTTGTCGTTCGTCGTCTTTTCGTGTGTCGCTTTTCGTCGTCACTTTTCGTTATCGTCGTCGTCATTTTCGCGTGGGGCGTCGTTGTATTTCGTCGTCGTTCTGCTCGGTTCGTCGTCGTCGTCGTCGACGTCGTCGTCGTCGTCGTCGTCGTCCGTCGCCGCTCTCGTCTTCGTCGTCTCGTCTCCATCGTCTTCGTCGTCGTCGTCGTCGTCGTCGTCGTCGTCGTCGTCGTTGTCGTCTTTGTCGTCGTCGTCGTCGTCGTCGTCGTCGTCATTTGTCTTTTGAGGCCCTCGTTGGACCTTGTCTCCGCAGCCAGGCAAGACGAGGAGGAGGAGGCGGAGGAGGAGAGGAGGAGAGGAAAAGGAGGAGGAGGATGAGGAAGAGGAGGAGGAGGAGGAGGAGGAGGAGGAGGAGGAGGAGGAGGAGGAGGAGGTGGAGGACGCGGGAGCACGCTGGCGGAAGAGGAGGATGAGGATGAGGATGAGGATGAGGAGGAGGAGGAAGAGGAGGAGGAGGAGGAGGAGGAGGAGGAGGCAGTGAACGCCCAAGATGCATCAACGATGTTGCAGTAAACCCTCCCTCCAAGCTCCTTGTTCTTCTTAGGCCACCAAAAGATGTGATTCTCGTTTCGGGATGTGGCCCATTAGAAGACATTCGTCTGAGAATTCAGTCGTGCCAGAACACTGCTCCTGTGTCCTCGAAGCCGCGCGGATCAACGTGACTGTTGCGTCCTGGCGATTCGAAATCGTGCCAGAACACCAACCCTATGACTTCAACACCGTGAATCAACGCGACTTTCGCGTCTTGACAGTTTTACATCGTGCCAGAACGAATTTCCTAGGACTCCGACCATGCGACTCTTTGAACCTGCTATACGCTTGTATGGCGAATGCTCACGGCGCTAAGGCGAGAGCCACATTTTGAGAAGGAGCCGTGGTTGCAATTTTTAAGACGAATGTGCACGGTGCTGATGCGAGAATCACATTTTGAAAACAATGCCGTCCTCCATCCGTGAACCCGCTGCAGTTCTTTAAGACGACTGTATTCGGCGCTAAGTCCAGAACCACATTGAAAACGACCCGCCCTCCATCCGTGAAGCTGATTTTCAAGACGAGTGTGCGCGGCGCTACGGCAAGCGCCACATTTTGAAAACGGCTCTTCCTCAATCAGTGAAGCTGTTGCACATGCTAAATTGCAGGGTCATAAGGGTCGAGACGTTTCAGGCGAACTGCCGGGCCCGCCCCACGGACATGTCCGGGGGTACGACAAGGGGGATTTTTCTATAAGGGAACGGATGGAGGAGTAGGAGGAGGTTCAGGAGGATAAGGCGGAGGAGGAGGAGGAAAAGGAGCAGGAGGAGAAGGAGCAGGAGGAAAAGCAGCAGGAGAAGGAGCAGGAGGAGGAGGAGGAGGAGGAGGAGGAGGAGGTTAGGGGAGGAGCTCCGGAGGAGGAGGAGGAGGAGGTGGAGCATGAGGCAGGAGTGGGGGCGGGAGGAGGAGGAGGAGGAGGAGGAGGGAGAGAGAGGGATGTTGGATGGAGGGAGAGGTGAGTTAGGTAGGAGGAATAATAATAAGACTAATAAATAATAATAAGATGAAGGGATTATGAGGGAGGAGGGTGAGAGGAGGATTATGAGGAGGGTGAGGAGTATAAGGAATAGTAGGAGGAGTGAAGAGTGAGGAGGGTGGAGGTGGGTGAGGGTGAAGAGGGGAGTAGGAGGAGGGAGAGAGGGGAAGAGGAGGGAGGAGAGGATAGGGGAGGGGAGAAAAGGGAGGGAGGGGGGGGGGGGGGGAGGAAGGGAGAGGATGGCAAAAAGGGGGAGGAGGAGACAAAATAGATAGTATAGATGTGTGTGTGGATGAGGAGGGGGGGGATGATTGGGAGGGGGGAGGAGGGGGGAGGCGTAAAGGGTAGGAGAGGGGAGGGGAGGATGAGAGGGGAGGAGAGGAGAGAGATCCAGTGGAGGAAGGAGGAGTAGGAGGAGAGGCAGGAGGAGGAGGAGGAGGAGGAGAGAGAGGAGGAGGACGATGAGGATAAGGAGGAGGAAGGCGACGAAGACCTGGACAACGGCGCGGACGTGGCGACCCCGTCGACGGAGGGCGCCTCGGACGGGGGCGACGGCACGGACGACGCGACGGCGGCTACGGCGACGACTGGGACGACCATGGCAGCGACAAGCGACGATCGCAGCGACGACGCCGTCGTCGACGGCAGCGACGGCGACGACGACCTGCATGACCTGGGCGGCGGCGGCGACCAGCGGCAGTCGGTGCAAGATGATCGTCGGCCTCCGCACGCGCGAGGCGTGTGAGGCGGCCGGGCGCGGCGTCACGACGGGGCAGACGGCCCAGGACATCGAGGTGCCCGCCGGCCTCCTGCTGCTGCTGCTGCTGCTGCTGCTGCCCCTCCTCCTCGTCTTTCTCGTTCTCCTCCGTCTCCGCCCTCTCCTCCTCCCCTCCTTGTTCTCTTCACCTCCTTCTCCTTCTCCTTCTCCTTCTCCTTCTCCTTCTCCTTCTCCTTCTCCTTCTCCTTCTCCTTCTCCTTCTCCGTCTCCTTCTCCGTCTCCTTCTCCTTCTCCTTCTCCTTCTCCTTCTCCTTCTCCTTCTCCTTCTCCTTCTCCTTCTCCTTCTCCTTCTCCTTCTTCTTCTCCTTCTCCTTCTCCTTCTCCTTCTCCTTCTCCTTCTCCTCCTCCTCCTCCTTCTCCTGCTCCTCCGTCTATCGAATGTGACGATGCAGCTGCGGTCGCACCGAAGGGACCAAATAGCCACCACGCAGCCCAGGAGCCGTGGTCTTCTGCGTCTCCAACTGGCCCCCCCAGACCCCAGACCCTTCCCCCTATCCCGGCTCCTGCTCCAGAGTGTGCATAGGTGCGGAGGTTTAGGGCGCTGTAGTCAGTGACCACCCAGAGGAAGGGAGGCACATACATGTCGATATTCGCCGAACGAATCAGCAGGAGAGCGCAGGACGTCGGTGGCCAGGCCGGGGAGCCACAGCCAGTCCAGGTCCAGGAAGCAGATGAGGCAGCGGCGACCAGGGACGATGCAACAGAGCAGATACTGTACTATATGGTCAGAGACAGCATGTGCGCTACAGGTGGCGCCGCCTGCAGGAACATAAGCTCCATCTCCGATTCGCTCAGAGGCATCATGCTCACTGTTGCCAGGATAAGACCTCGCATACAGAGGGCGTTCCCAGCTGCCCAAGCTGCATATCGCTGCATATCGAGAGGATGAACAACTTCCAGGACAAGCTTGCAGAGCTTTTCGGAGTGCTCAGCTTAGGCGGAGAAGAGATCACGGGCTGGCCAGATCGAGGAGAGATGAGGGTTGAGCAGCAGCAGCGCGCGAGCACCCCGCCGGCTGCTCCCACCCACCATTAACTACAAGTTCGAGGCGCCAGCGGCGCTAGCCAGAGAGAGTGCCGCCTCGCCCGACGGCCGCGCCCGCCCACCCTGAACGACAAGCTCGAGGCGCCTGCCAGAGGGAGTCGCCGACGCAGCAGACCGAGACCATCGAACACGCTGTGGAAGCGGAGCACGCGAAGCACAGGGCCTGGGATGGGGCCGGTGGTCCAGCGCTTCGACCTGGATAAGATCTACGAGGCTATCCTGAAGGACGACTGGTAGGGAGCTGCGGCGGACTTCAAGATTGCCCCCGGCGGGGACAACCATATAGTGTGCGTGTGCCCGCGCTGCAGGACGGCCCCCCTTTGAGCCGGAGGAGCGGGTGCGCTGCGTGGTGCCATCGCGCAAGGACGCGCCGGGGGGTGCCGCCGCACGAGGCGGCCACTGGAAGTGCGCGCGCAAGAGCTGCGGTCGCAGGTGGTCAGAGAAAGGCGCTGGCGCCCGGGAGTGCCGCGTGATCATCTTCCCGTCGCGTTCCATCATCGAGAATGGTGGCGTGGCGCTGGCCCCCGACGGGGGGGTTCATCGCATCGAGATGACCCGGGAGTGCAGCCCGGCGGGCCCGGCGGAGATGGTTGATTTCGGCCGCGGCAGCCTGGGGCAGGAGGGTGCCCTGACAATGCTGGGGGCGGCCAGGCTGGCGCCTGCCATTCGCGCCGTGCAGGGGGGCGAGATCTCCCCGGGCGGATTATTGCAGTGTGAGCTCGGTGCGGTCGTGGGCGCCATCGACGCCGGCAGTGAGGAGGCCTGCAAGAAGCCCATCAAGCGCGTGTCCGCGCTCGCGGAGGAGAGGATCGCCGCAGGCGCGCTCGGGGGGCTGAGCGTCCGCGCCTACCGCGAGGACTCGCGCCTCTCCCATGACAGGTTCACGGGCGGTTGCCGCGCCTGTGGCCTGCCCGCGGTCTGTGCCATCCTGGGCTCGGCGGACCGCGATGTGGTGCTCGACTGCCCGCTGCCAATTTTCGATGCCTCGGACTCCGCGGGCAACTCGGAGGCCGAGTCGGGCGGGAAGACGGGGCGGCTGGCGAGGCCGTGCGGGCGCGTGCTCGAGCGCCAGCGATTGGCCGCAGAGAACCTGATCGAGGGCCACAGCAAGCTCTGGTCGAGATGACGCGGTGGGGCTCGACGAGGCGCTCGGGCGCCGGCAGCGGCGGCGCTCCATGTGACCCTTCGGGGCGGGGGCGCCGCCGGCGCGAAGAGAGAACGGCCGCCGCGTGGCCTGGGGCAGCGGGCTATATCGAGGTGACGGCGCGCCGCGTTCCCAGCTGACCGCAAGGCGCGGGCGGCGCAAGTGTTTGCATCCGACCCCCGCCCGCCGCCGGCGGGGGGATGGCCTTCGACGGGGGGTTGCGCCCTCGCGGGTGGCTGATCGTCGCGCGGTCGGGGCAGCGGGGTCGTCGCGCGATCCGCAGACGTTGAGCTGCTCATTCCATTCCGACGCCAGCCCCGCCTTGTCGTGGCCGAGGCCGCGCCGGCCTCCGGCGTGGTCCATCTGGGCGCGCCTCGCAGGCCGTCCCCTCTCGAGACCTGCGGCCTCGCGCCATGCCTGGCAGGCCTTCGTGCTCGGCGCAGCCCGCGCGCCCGCGGGCCTGGGGCGGCTTGCTGGCGCGCCGCCGCAGACCCCCGGGAGGGGCGCGGGGGCGGGCGCGCCCGGGTCGCCAGAGGAAGGGCGGCAGGAGGGCGCCGAGGTGACCGTCGGCTCCGAGTAAATCGAGGAGGGCCCGGGCAGGTGTGGCAGGGTTGCGCGGGAGGCCCTCAGGCTGACCTTCAAACGCATGTGCCGGGCAGTGCTGGGCCGCCGCCCGAGAGGGATCGAGGGCGGGGGCGATCGGGCCCGCTGGGGAGATGGCCAAGCCCGCCCCCCACGCGCATGCCTGACATGAGCAGCGCGCGCGGAGGGGGGCGACGCGTCCGGGGGCCGCGCGGGATCGGGCGGGCAGGCGCCGCCGACCGCTGGAAGACGAAGCTAGCCTCCCCGAATGCGAATGGGGGGGTCGAGGGCAGCCAGGTGGCAGAGGGATATTATTGTGCTGGCTTCGGGCCAGTGCTGCCGATCCGGGGCGCTCCAGATGATGATGATGATGATGATGATGATGATGATGATGATGATGATGATGATGATGATGATGATGATGATGATGATGATGATGATGATGATGATGATGATGATGATGATGATGATGATGGATGATATGAATGCTGATACGCTGATGCTGATGATGATGATGATGATATGGCTGATGCTGATGCTGATGCTGATCTGATGATGATGATGATGATGATGATGATGATGATGATGATGATGATGATGATGATGATGATGATGATGATGATGATGATGATGATGATGATGCTGATGCTGATGCTGATGCTGATGCTGATGCTGATGCTGATGCTGATGCTGATGCTATGCTGATGCTGATGCTGATGCTGCTGATGATGCTGATGCTGATGCTGATGCTGATGCTGATGCTGATGCTGATGCTGATGCTGATGCTGATGCTGATGCTGATGATGATGATGATGATGATGATGATGATGATGATGATGATGATGATGATGATGATGATGATGATGATGCTGATGCTGATGCTGATGCTGATGCTGATGCTGATGCTGATTCTGATGGTTCTGATGATGTTGATGATGATGGGGCCATCTTGGGCGTTTTGGGCCGATCGTTCGGTGATTTTGGGCTTTCTTGGGCCGTCTTGAGGGCCTCTTGGGGCTCTGTTGGCCCGTCGTGGGCCTCTTGGGCTCGAACAAATTATGCGGGGACATTTTGGGGGCCCGGGATGGCGCGCGGGGAGCCTCGAGAGATTTGAGAGTTTGGGATCCAGGCCCATTGAGAATCCTCAGGCTTGAGGACTGAGGCTCAGGGGATTGAGCAAGGGGCCTGGGCCCCCTGCCCCCGAGCGCTAAACGCATCGGGAATTGAGCCCCCCCCCCCCCCCCCCCCTCCTCTGCCAGAGCCTCCTGGGGGGCTTCTTGGGGGCCTGTGGGCCCCCCTGCCTCCGAGCGCTAAATGCGTCGGGAGGATAGCGCCCCCCCCATCCGCCCCCGCTTGCAGAGCGAAGCTCGAGCGAGCTCAAGTTCGCGCCTTCAGAAGCTCAGGCGCCGAATCGGCGGATTTCGTTGCTGGGTCAGGTTGAGAGCGCGCGCGTCGGCCGCCCTGGCCGCGGGAGGGCAAAAGGTCCTGCAGCGGCGGCGAGGCGACGGCGAGCGCGGGCGGCGACGGGGCCCCCGGGGGGCCCCCGCCGGCGCGCGGGCGAGGGCGGGCCCGATCGGGCTCTCCGCCAACCAGGGCGCGCCGCCGCGAGACAAGGAGGGGGCGGCGGTGGCGCCTTGGAACGTAGAGACGCGGGCCCTCCTCCTCCTCCTCCTCCTCCTCTTCCTCCTCCTCCTCCTCCTCCTCCTCCTCCTCCGCGACGACCTCTCACCCGGCGGCGAGGTGGAAGGGGGAGCGGCCGAGACCGCGCAGGGAACGGCGCCGGGAGAAGGCGGCCCCAAGAGAGGGGCCAGCGGCGGGCGAGGGGCGCCGGGCGAGAAGGCAGATGGGGACGACGATAGGGCGCGCATGGAGACGACATCGGGGCCCGCGCTCGCGCTCGACGCCCAAGAGCAGCCGCCTTGCCCGCAGCGGGCGCCCCTTTGCATGGGGCCGCCGACGGCGCCGCCGTCGGAGGAGGAAGAGCAGCCGTGGCGATGCGGACAGTGTTGGCGAGTTGTCCTGCCCAAGAGGAGGACGCGCTGGTGCCGCGCGAGTATGGGGCGCCCGCGGGCAGGCGCCAGTCGCGCCGGGATGGATGAGACGCGACGGATCCAGGAGCGCGAGCTGCAGATAATCAGGGACTTCGAAGACGAGGTCGGTAAGTGGTGTAGGAGGCGTCGGGCGATGCTCGGACAGAGGCCGAGCGCAGACGTCAGCAGGGAGGTCGCCAGGCCGCGAGGAGCTGCGAGCTGCTCGGGCGCCCAGTCACACCAGAGGAGAGCGGACGGCCGTGGGAGAGGGCGCGGCACGCTGAAATAATGACCGCCTTTGGCTCAGGATGGGCTCCAGTTTCCGGGCCCTTGATCGGCCTGAGGAGCCCCGTCGTTCCTTCTTCAGCATTCCCCAGGAGGGGAAAAAACACACAGACACACACAATTAACTGTCCATTCCTTTGAAAATAAGAGAAAAATGGGAAGTGTGGGGGCAAACGAAAATCCCAAAGATGTGGAATAATCCTGGGATTTGTGTGTGTTTATTAGTGTGTCCCTGGGCCCTCTCACTGAAAAGCCCCATCGCCCCTTCTTCAGCATTCCTTCTGGTGGCACGATGTGTGCATGGTGGGTTCGCGTCGTATCGACCAGCGGCGATTTCACCGCCGGCGTTCAACATTGGACGCCGAAGGCGACCCAGAATCGGTCGCCGTTGAGCGATCTGACGTTTCGGACACGGCCGAGCGCTCAGAGCCGAACGATCCCCGCGGTGTCAGAAACCAGTGCTGGGGTCGACGCGACACGAACCCGCCGCAGTTCAACGGGCGAAGAACGGTATGAAATAAACGTTTTCGCCGTCGGGGACACCTGCCCCTGGGCGGCTGGAAAGTTTATACCCCTACGGTGCCACCGTAAGGGCATAAACTTTCCAGCCGCCCTGGGGCTGGTGTCCCCGACGGCGAAAAAGTTTATCTCATACCGTTCTTCGCCCGTTAAGCAGTACCCTCCCCCCTCCCCCCTTCCCGCCGCCCGCCCCCCTGCAGCCTCCGCCCTCCCCGCTGGCCGCCTTCCCCGCCCCCCCTGCCGGCCTGGGCCTCCCCGCCGCCGCCTTCCCGCCGCGTGGGGGGGTGGGGGGGGGGGGTTCAGCTGATCTCGTGCATCCTCTCATCGCTCCCTCCTGCTCCCTGCCCTCCCCCTCCCGCTCTTCCCCTTCCTTTTCGTTCTCACTCCCATCCCCGTCCTTTTCTCTCCCTATCGCTCCCCCTCCACCCTCGCCCCTCCCCTCCCCTCCCCTCCAATCTCGCTCCCCCCCCTCCCTGCCTGCCTTCTCCGTTTACCTTGCCTGTCGCTCCCGCCCCCCCTTTGCTCCCTCCCTCCCTCGCTCCTTTCCCTCCCTCTCCTCCCCTCCCTCCCTCTCGCTGTATCTCGCTCCCTCCCGCTCCCTCTCGCGCTCCTTGCTCCCCTCCTCCCTCTCGGACGTATGGTGGCGTGTTCCCCCCCTCCCCCTTCCCCCTCCCTGCGCGAGGTCAAAGTGCTCGATCCGAACGAGGACGGGGTGGAGATGGAGGTGGAGGAGGATGAGGAGGATTACGATAATGAACAATTAAGAGGCAGGATGGAAGAGGTGGATTAGGTGATGGTGATGATGATGGTAATGGTGATGGTGATGATGATGCTGACGATGACGATGATGATGCTGCTCCTACTGATGATGATGATGATGATGATGATGATGATGATGATGATGATGATGATGATGATGATGATGATGATGATGATAATGATGATGAGTGTTATAATGCTACTGATGATGGTGATGATGATGCTGATGGTGGTGGAGGTGATGATGATGATGATGCTGGTGATGGCGATGCTGATGATGCTGCTGCTGATCATGAGGATGGTGATGATGATGCTACTGCTGATGGTGATGATGATGATACTGATGATGCTGATGATGACGATGATGACGATGCTGCTCCTACTGATGATGATGATGATGATGATGATGATTATGATGATGATGACGATGATGATGATGAGTATTATAGTGATACTGATGATGGTGATGATGGTGATGATGATGATGGTGGTGGCGATGCTGATGCTGACGATGATGATGCTGATGCTGATGAGGATGGTCATAATGCTTATGATAGTGATGTTGCTGATTTTGACGATGATGACGAATCTGCTTCTGATGATGATACTGAGGATGATGATGGTGGTGGTGATGATGATGTTGATGATGATGGTGCTGATCATGTTGATGATGCTGATGATGACGATGATGATGCTGATGATGATGCTGCTGCTGATACTGCTGATGGTGATCATGCTTATGCTGATGATGATGACGGTGATGACGATGCTGCTCATGCTGCTGATGATGCTGATGCTGATGCTGATGCTGATGATGATGCTGATGATGCTGATGATGATGCTGCTGATGATGATGCTGATGATGATGATGATGATGATGGTGGTGGTGGTGGTGGTGATGATGATGCATGGGCAGGAGGCGGAGGACACGATGAGTGGCAGGAGGAGGAGGAGGAGGGGTAGGAGGAGGAGCACGTTTGTGGAAGGATGGAGATATGATAAATGGAAAAAAATGATGATGATGATGATGATGAATGATGATGAATGATGATGATGATGATGATGATGATGACGATGATGACGTGATGATGATGATGTGATGATGATGATGGATGGATGGTGGTGTGGTGGTGGTGGTGATGATGATGATGATGATGATGATGATGAATTAGGAGGAGGAGGAGAGGAGGAGGAGGAGGAGGAGGAGTTGAGGCAATCATGATTGTGAACCAGACGCACCGGGTGCTTCTCGACCTGTGGTCCCGTGTGACTGGTAGAGGTGGGGCGCATCCCAGAAACCCGAGCAGGGGGCAAACGCAATTTCGGGTTCGGAACCACGGAGCGTGACACGTGTCGCACACGATCTCTCCTTCGAGCGTTGCGCATAGAGACTCCACCCGGGTGCATGGGTCTCGGGCCCGGTGGGTCAGGGATGGGCGGGAGACGCGAAGGGGCGGGGAGGGGTGGGAAGTGCAGGAGGGAAGGGGACCACCGGCCAGTGCGAACCATGACCTTGACTGCTGTCGATGCTAAGCCTGTATGCCTGCCCCCTGGCCCTTGTGCTGGACAGGGCGCGAGCTCAACGGTGCTTTGGCGAGTCCGTGGGCCGCTTTCGCCTTGCTTTCGTTTTGCAGCAGCGGCGGAACGAGGACAGAACGCGGGAAAACGGAAGCAAACCGAACACGGAAAACATTGTTTAGCTCTCGCCCTTGTGATCGTTTTCATATTAATTGTTTTGCCGATCGGCGTGGGCCCTCGTCCCCTTCCCCTACCCCCCCCATGGAGTAGATCTTGGCTGTTTTTGGCGCCTGTTTCAGGCAGGTGGAGTCTCCTCTGCAGGACGCATTGCTGCAAACAGTCGCATGAAGCAGAGGTCCGGAGCCAGAACCCCCCCCCTCCCCCCCCTTCCACCCAATGTCGTAACGCCGGATAAGAAAACGTTCGCCACCTGGGATCCCTTCCCACCTCTCAGGGCTCCTATCCCTCAGAACCAGGGGGAGAACGAAAGCACAACGAGAACGGAAAACATCCCAGAGATCGGATGTCCTGTTTTTTTCAATACGCGGTCCCCGGAATTCTTGACCCATACCCCAGGACCGGTTTTTCATCTTGAGTGAATTTTTTGACGGTCCCGAGGCCCAGCGAGGGCCCAAGAGGCCCAGCGAGGGCCCTTTGGGGCCGAAAGCGGCGAACAGCCTCCGTCTTGATTTCTTCAGTGCCCTGGATCTCTGGGAGTGTGTGGCTCGCGCCCTTGGTGCCGGACCCCTCGGGCGGGGGTCAGCCGCGCGCAGAGGGGGGTGGGGGGGGTGGGGTGGGGGGAAGGGGGGCAGGCCTTTCCGAGAAGCACCCCCTGCTCCTCAGAGGGCGCGGGCCTCGCCTACAGATGCTAGGCCGGCGCCTCCTGAGAAGCAGCCTCCTTCCAAGAGGCCCCCCTCCTCCCCCTCCCCGCCCCCCCCCCTCTGCCCTCTTCCCCCCTCCCCCCCCTCCCTCCCCTCCTCTCCCCCGAGATCCTCCCCCTCCCCTCCCCTCCCCCCCCCCCCGCCCTCCCCCCTCCCTCTCCTGCTCCCCTTCCTATGCGCGCCGCCGAGGAGGGACCGCGCCTCGGCCCTCTCCAGGGGGGCCCCTCGCGCCCCCGCGCTGGCCGCGCGCCGGCCCTCTCGGGCCCCGCGGCGGCCCCGCGGCCGCGCCGCGCTGGCCGAGGCCTTTTGCCGCTCCGGGCGGGCGAGGGCCCCCCGCGGAGGCCCGGCCTGCAGTCGGGCGTGTCCCTCTCTGCAGAGGGAAGATTCAACAGCCGTCAAAAAATAGTCTGGGGACGATTATTCGTATTTTGTATATATATATATGGGTATATGCATATGTGTATATATATATATATATATATATATATATATATAAAAATATCTGGGTAATTTCAGAAACAGTCAACAAATAGTCTGGGGACGATTATTTGTATTTGTGTCAAACTTCTTTTTTTGGGGAGGGTATGTTTTTTCCGTCCAAAGCCCCCTGTAGGGGGACGGGCCCGACCTAAGCCCAGCCGGCGGCACCAGCGCCCGCACGCGCCAGTCGTTGAAGGTGGGATTTTTTTTGGACTCCTGGGTCCTTGCCCAGTCCCCCTCGCGTCGTGAGAAAAATCACGACGGGAGGTTTTCGCCATTTCGGCCTCGGGGGGGCCCTTCCCAGGCCTGCGGCGGCCAGGAAGGGGAAAGAGCAGGGAGGGAAGGAGGGTCGGGGGCGGCAAAGAGGGGGGTGAGGACCAGGGGTGGGTGGGTATCATGGCGGGGGCCATGACATTTCCCGAGACTTCATGGCGCCTCTTCCTGTTTCATGACGTTCCTGGCCCCCCCGCTGGGCCGCGCACAGGCCGCCGGTCATGATTTGCACCCCCCCTCTTGGACCCCCCCTCCTGGCCGCTCCCGAGAGGGTAGGGGGCCGCTAGCGAGCGGGGAAGGGGAGGGCGGGGACGGCAGGGAGGGAAGTGCGGAGGCGTGCCGCCCCTGCGCCTTCCTCGGCGGGACTGCATCACTGGTCGCTGCTGGGTCTGTGCGCACGGTCCCGTGAGGAGCCCGTCGACATCGACAAGTTCGAAAGCTTCGACGACGCCCGCGAGTTCCCGCGTGAGCTTAGACAGGATATCTCCTAGCTTGGCTTGTCGCGTGCACGAAAGCGTGCCTGAGTCGCGGTCCTGTCATTCCCCGTGTCATGCCTGTCTTGCTGCTCCTTTCGGCCTGCCTTCCCCGTTCCGTCCCATGGTTTGTCCTCTTATGTTCCTTGCTTGTCCCGTCCAGTCCTTTACCATCCCGTCTCGCCTTGTCCCCGTCCCGTCATTCATGGGTGCATCCAGCTCCCAAGGTTGATTGACTCATCAGCATGTTCCAGATGGGTATTTGTTCTTGACGTCGAGAATGTAACACGTGATTCCCGAGAGGATCCTGCAGCGTTTGGGGCCCAATCGGAGTCCATCAGCTGCAATGTGTCCACTGTGGTTCTGCCACTCCTGTCCTTGCCGAGTCATTCTCCCACTGTTGGCACGCCAGGGCGGTGGCCTGATCCGACATCTTCCTTCTGCCCCCTCCCGCCCGCCCGCCCGCCTGCTTCGTCCCGCTGGCCCTTTTCGTTGTCTCTCTCTCTCTCTCCATATCTCTTTCTCTCTCTCTCTCTCTCTCCCCCCGATCCATGGCCCCTTTGACGCCCAAGGGAGCGCCGTCTCAGCCCCCGGCAGCGCTAAAAAGGTGAGGCGGTGGCTGACGAGCTCCGCCGGAGGGGCACGCGCCCGCCTCGAGTTGAAGAACTCAGCGACAAGACTCTCCCTCCCTTTCTTTTGACCGCAAATCATGGGAGCCTGGTGTAATGGAGGATGACGATGAATAAATGACCGGGGGTCGTGTTCACGCGGCGGTGCCCGGGATGACGATTAGAAAAAACCGGCCGCGGGCCGGACAACTATTTTTTTAACCGTTCTCCTCCAGTCAGAAAACTGTGCAGAAATAGCAGAAAACTATTTGTTTAATCGTTCTCTCCCATTTTTTTGATTAATCGTCATCCCGCATTCCCCTGTTCATTCTGACTTTGGCGTCGATGATAGCGCCGATTAGCGTCTGGGAGTCGATGAGACAGCGCCGATCTGGCGTCGATCTAGCGTCGATTTGCGTCGACGAGCGTCGATACGTGTCGATCGAAGAAGAAGTAACGCCATAAACATAAACTTTTGGCGCTCCATGCGGATTTCTTGGATCCGCGCTGGGCCCCCCTGGCGGGGCCTCCGGCGCCGCCCTTGGCGCGCTCCGCGCGCCATGGAGGGTGGCCAGCGCGGATCCAAGAAGTCCGCGCGGAGCGCCAAACATTTATGCTTATGGCGGCGGCGGCGGCCGGCGGTGGCGGCGGCGGGAGCAGCTTAGGTTCGGAACGGGCTCGCTGTTCCTTGGGTCGTTCCGTGTATGCACACACTTCTTGGCGTCGCCGCCACGCGCGCAGCTGCGTAGCGTTGGTGCACTGGTGCAGGCCAGCTAAGAGGCCGCAGGAGCATGCCAGATCCATGCATAGGGGACCGCGCGGCATCGTTCGCGGGTGGCAGCCGCGAGGGGGTGAACAGAG